TAAATTTCCCCCCCCCCCCCTCAAGTTTAGTAGCACATAATTTTTAATATCGATATGAATTATTTGTTAATTATTTTCCTGTCTATATTCTGAAGGTTTTTACTGAGGGGTTTGTTCATATATCATTTATCTGATTTTATACAACATTTTATAAAATGTTTTTGTCGTTGTTGTTTTAATATGTTAACAAAATGAAACAAGAATTTTGAATGTTCAGATTTCCATTCTGAAAATGGATACAAATTGTGTATATTTATGCAAAGAGTGCATATTTAATTAGATAATTCCTCATTTGCTAATTAAAACCTAACATTTCAGAAACCTGTAACACAAAACAAATGCTATTCTTAATATAATCAATCATCTGGGTAAGTATAGTGAAATCAAATGAAAAATTGTGTGTTTGATTGGTCCAGACGCTACATCTATTAGTTAATTTCTAATTAAATTATTTTAGTAATTAATTTTATGCCTTTTAATAGTTATTTAAACTGTTATTTTACTTAGTTTATATTTATTTAGTTATTTTAAAGTCTAACTTTACCCTATTCACATGGGGTGTGTTGCCTTAAGGATATTTGGATAATTTTACTGAGGAAAAAAACTATGAAAAGAATGATTTTTGTGCAACATCATTGCAAAGAAATGTGCTATGAGAGAACATGTGTTTTGCAATCACATTTCATCATGTGGAATGCAGACAAAGAAATAATTACCTCCAAATAAATTTTACTTCTTCCCGTGACGAAGTATAACACAACATTTAGCTTAGGGCGCAAGAGACCTCATCTGTTCCTGTCAGGACAAACCAGATGAAAGAGTGGACGAAACGTAGCCCTGCCAATAGATAAACAGGGGATAACCTGCAGACAATGCTACATTTATCACGTGAACACAAACAGGTGGCTAATAAAACATGCTAATTTAATTTTACAACGTGAGTGAATGCACAGAACAATCCCACCTGTTGCCCATCTGGTAGATAATGGCTGAAAAATTAAACAAGGCCATTTTGGTTCTGTCTAAATTGTATATAGAACTGCATGGCTTCCAGAATATGATTGTTTGGGGGTTATTATAGTTTATTATAGTTGTTTTTCATGAAAAGATGTTGGATAGACATTTGTAATCTGCTGTTGGGTCTTTGCGCCAAATTTCTGTGGAAAAACAATCCAACAACAACATATGCTAGCATGCTATGCTAACGTTTCCATGCTGATTTCAAATACTTAACAGGTTGCACAGCGTGTCTGCTAAAGTGTCACACAAATTTCACTTCAAAAACTCATCTGACTCATCCTTACTGCCCGCCAAACAAGTCTTTAGAGGCTTTCTGAGCTGAAGAGCAGAAAACACAACCAGAGCTAGGTCTTATCAAGTGCACTCTCACATGCAGTGACAACGTGAGCTTCGTATTTTTTGTTTTTCCTCTCGCATTGCCATGAGTTTACACACAACAAGAAACAGAAAAGAAAAAAGAAACACGAAAGAGAAATCAGGTAACTTGATGCTAGTGTTTACTTTAAAGTCAAATAGCTGGAGTCTTGTGAGGCGTTAAATGGTATACAGTATATCTGGATTAATATACAAAACATGGAGAGGACAACCGCAGTATTAGCTGTGAAAACAGTGACTCTGAGGATTTTCAAATGAATAAAAGAGCATTTGTTCTTCCAAAAAAAGGTCTATAAAACAGGGAGAAAGCTATCCGTTAGCATTCCCATTGATCTCTATAGCAGCTGCATGGTTATTAATAAGACATTTTTGCTTGTAGGACAACAAACCTTTGAGCCAATCACCTGAGCCGTAAATCCCATGTGATCATTCTGAAACCAAAGTAAAATTACCTTATGACATTGATTTGCTGATGAGTACTAGATAATAAATGACTTCTTTTCTTTTCTTTCTGACACACTTTCTGACACACAGCTTTTCAGTTTCACTTTTTTTCCCTTTCCAACTGAAATACATTATTTTATTGAGAAATATGTGTGAAATAATACTAATTTGGCTGATATTTAGGCCTATATCCAGTTGTATCAATACTGACAATGCGTATATTCATTTTGCTCCTCGAAAACAGCCCATGCTAAGGAAATGTTAATGCCAGACTATTTAGGATTTATTATTATGACTTTTAGAAAGTAATTTTGCTGCCAACTTAGAAATTCACAATAATTATTCCCAAAATGCACATTCATTTAACTGAAAAAAGTTATGATTGTCTGGAAAGGAAATGTAGAAAGTGAAGTCTTGGAGTTCTAATTGAATACTCTTGCTTTATGGGATGCTCAAACATAAAACAAAACTCTGAGATACTGTGCTCACCTCAAAATTACTGGTGAGCGACAAGGACAAAATCCAGATGTAAGCAGCTATACAACGCACATGCTGACGGTCCCTTATGCTTATCCATCTGTATTTCCAGCGTAATCTGCGGCTCTCCCCTGATGAATGATATGAACACATAAATATCACACAAACATCTGCTTTTCTGTGTCTGATTTCGATATAACCAGCTAAAGTTCGGAAAGTCTGTGTAGTCTTTAGGTTGACAGGAAAAGACATCTGTATTATATCAAGGTTAGTAGTTGAATCCTTCCCTACATCATTTAACTAGGGCAAAATTGAATGGAAAACCTATTTCTGTTCAACTGATGCAAAAAAAAAATTATGTTCTGGAGGATTAAAGATAAAGTTAGAAGTCATATGGATATATTATGGCCTATATGTGTCCATGTTGGACAACATTCGTAGACTTAGGGAGGTTTGCCAATGAATGTACTACACAGCTTTTTATACAACTAAGCAAACTAAATATTAATTCAGCTATTCAACAGAAGACCTAAAACACCAACTGTCTGAAAATGCAGCCCTATTTTGAAAACAGATGAATTATCACCACACGCACTACTGAAATATGCAGTTAAGTTAGTTTTTAGTTATTAGTTAGTGTTTAGTATTGTTTAATACTATAAATTATGTTATTAACTCACCAAATAGCATTGGGAGTGAGATTTCAATGAAGGCTTGTGAGAATTTTATGAGTTTTTACATTAGATCTCAAATACCTCCTGTAGCTGATCCCCCTGCTCTTCCTTATTGCCCTGTTATGTCTGATTGGTTCGAACTTCTTCAACTCTCTACCTTGGCTAAAATAGTTGATCAATTGAGGCCATCAGATTCCCCTCTTGGCAGTGTCCCATCAAGTCTGATCAAACAAACTTTTGATGTGGTTGGGCCTAGTGTTTTATCAATAATGAATAGCTGCCTTGCATCGGGGACTGTTCCTGCCTTTTTTAAGCATGCTGTAGTACAACCTTTAATTAAAAACACCAAGTTGGGTCACAATTACAGATTGTCCTGAATGCCACTGCTAGATTGTTGACAGGTTCTGGGAAACGGGACCATATTACTCCCATTTTGTCATCTTTGCATTGGTTAACGGTCCGTTCTAGGACAGATTTAAACATTTTGCTATTTGTTTTTAAAACTTTAAGTGGACTTGCACCATCTTATCTTTCTGATTTGTTACAACCTTACTCACCATCAAGATCACTCAGGTCCTCTGACCAGAAACTCCTGATTGTTCCTAGGTTGATTGTTCATAAACTGTAGGAGCACTGTGCTTTTGCAGTGTCGGCCCGAAGCTTTGGAACAGTTTGCCTTTGCACATAAGAACTGCCTCCACATGTCATTTAAGACTCTTTTGAAGACTCGTCTCTTTTCCCAGGCTTTTCTGCAGAATGCTGCTCAGTGATTTGTTGTTGGAATCTCATTGTTTTTTATGTTGAATGGTTTGACGTCTATGCTGTATAACAGATGTGAGTGTACTGTATGTTTATTTGTGTTTTAGCATCTGTACAGCACATTGGTCAACTTACTGTTGTTGTTTTTTTTATTTTTATTTAGAAATAAATCGCTTTGCCTTGCCTTTAGTTGCACAGTGCTGGGTAGTTTACGAATTGTAGTCCATTACTGATTACAAATTTCAAGGCAAAAATAGTAGTTAGTAATGTAATCTACACATGACTACTTTTTGATTACTTTTGGATTACATTTGACCTAACTCGTAAAAAAATAAAAACATATTTTCCATTCTTTCAACTTTGTTATCAATATCATGAAGTGCATTAAACGTTATCCCAAGTTTTCTCATACTGGGGTTCCTGAAAGAACTGCAGGAGGTTTGTGAAGTGATGAAAAGCTAATAAATAATTAAATCATAAAAATGTCAAATTAAACTAATTGTGTGGCCTCTCCATTTTCTGTGTAATAATAGTCACCTGACTAGTGGCAAACTTATAGCAAAATTTGGTAGTTTTGGATGTTGTCTGAGGGTTAGCGTCATCTCAGGTCTTGGTAAGGACTATTTTATGCTTTTATAAAATTATATGCTTCACATGTACGTTTTTAAATCATTAAACAATTGGCCCCATTCACTTCCACTGAAAATGCCTCACTGTAACCTCCATGTTTGCTTTAAAGAAATTGAGGAGTGAGTCAAAATGTTAATTGTTGATTACTGCGAAAAAAAAATCAATGTTGATTACCACAAAAAATCTTTGTGGTAATCAACATTGTGGCACACCTGAGCTTTAACCTGTATTGAACGCAGAGTGTTCTATTAAGAAATCTATCATCTGCACAGCATTTTCATTTATACCAGGACCGCAGTCTTGGATATAGATCTTGGGAATGCTGGGACTGCAATGATTTGGCCGGATACATATGTTCTTTCAGCTCTGCCACTTTGAAACAACTCAGACCTCGAATATAAACCCCCAACCTCAGAAGCAGACCACCGTGAGGGGGAAGACAAAGTTTATGGAGAATTTTGTTCCATCAGATTCACCGGTTCTGCTTCCCTTCAGCTTTCAATTAATCTCACCATGGTAGTCTTGAGATTACAAAGGCAGGAACAATCTATATTTCCTGTGGAACTGCATTCATCTCTTACTACAGAGGCAGTGTAAGACAAAAAAGAAAAAGTAAAAAAAGGAGTCACAGATACTAAGAAAAGTGACTTTGAATCTACATCAAAACACATGTTAGAGCAACAACATCCCTTCAAATGTTGTCAAAGCCCAACAACGTTGTCTGAACCGTTTCATATTGAGAGATGGTGTTGATTTGTAAAGGGTTTACATGTTTCCAACATGCACTGCAGTTAAATTATGTGGTTAGCGTTTTAGGAATATTGTTTTGTTGTTTGCTGTATTTATGTTCAGCTATGTACATGATCTTTTTCTCATCAATGTTAGTTGTCTGTTGTGGTCATGTTAAGCGCTTGCCTTTGTACTTCATAAAATTTGTGGGTAAAATGTTGATGTTTATTTGCATCTAAATAAAATTATTGCATGCAATGCCTTTGCTTTCTTCAGAGACAAATATTGTGATGTTAATTTCAAAATAACTATGGCATTTCTTGCATTGTTAATTAATAACTAATTTTTTTGGACAAGACATCTTTAGATATTCAAAGAAACCTTCTGCCTTGACAAACATTTGTTGGCTGAAAAGTTTAGAATTTAGCCAAATTGAAATTGCCTAAAAAACGTAGTAATACTGGGGGCAATCGTTAAGATTGTTGTTGAAATAGCTAAAAAATGTAAATAAATTATGGTGATTTTCAACATTTTTCTCATCAGTTCCTTTTACATTGAGGTCAATAGTAATGGTGCAATGGAGGGTCACTAAAGATAGTTTGCACTGAAAAAATTAGCACTGGATTTGAAGGGATAGTTCACCCAAAACTGAAAATTACCCCATGATTAACTCACCCTCAAGCCATCCTAGGAATATAAGACTTTCTTTCAAATACAAT